ATACAGCCATTCTATATGAGAGTGATGGGCCTGTGACACTAGATATCGGCGGACTCAGATTTTTAGTCAATCTACTAGTCCTAGACATGCACACTTATGACGTGATACTTGGGATGGATTGGTTATCTCACTACTATGCCCAAGTTAATTGTTTTGATAGGTCTATTGTATTTACCATACCTGGTCAGGATATGTACGTGGTAGCTATGCTTCATTCTAAGGGGGGCAGTAGTACTTATTTGTTTCATGTGGAGGAGGAAACGAAGGAGGAGGTTACTATGTCATTGGATCATATACCAATTGTACAGGATTTTTCGGATGTTTTTCAAGAGATTCCAGGGTTGCCGCTTAGTTGCGAGATCGACTTTGTAATTGATTTAGCTCCAGGCACTACGCCTATTGCTAGGGCACCTTATAGGATGGCACCAGTGAAGATGAGAGAGTTAAGGGATCAGATTCAGCAATTACTCAGCCAGGGTTTTATTCGTAGGAGTACGTTACCCTGGGGAGCACCGGTCTTGTTTATGAAGAAGAAGGATAGTTCGTTTCGCCTGTGTATAGATAACAAGGAGTTGAACAAGGTTATTATTCGTAACAAGTATCCTTTACCCAGGATTGATGATCTATTTGATCAGTTAAGGGGAGCCACATACTTCTCCAAGATTGATTTGCGTTCTGGATATCATCAGTTGAGGGTTAGGGAGCAGGATGTTCCTGAGACAGCATTTCTTACGAGATATGGATTTTATGAGTTCCGTGTTATACCGTTTGGGACGACTAACGCACCAGCAGTTTTTATGGACCTGATGAACCTAGTCTTCAGGGCTTATTTGGATCAGTTTGTCATTGTTTTCATTGATGATATCTTGATCTATTCTAGGTCAGAGGATGATCATACTAGACATCTTCGGATCGTGTTGCAGATGCTTCGTGAGCACCAGTTATATGCCAAGTTCGAGAAATGTGAATTTTGGCAGCGGGAAGTGAAATTTCTAGGTCACGTGGTGCCAGAAAGGGGAATAGCAGTGGATCCAGCCAAGGTTTCAGCAGTGGTTGAGTAGGGATAGCCTACTTTACCTACCGAGATTCGGAGTTTTCTCGGATTGGCAGGATATTATCGGAGGTTCATCCAGGGTTTCTCTAAGATAGCTGAACCATTCATGCACCTAACTAAAAAGGGTGTACAGTTTGTGTGGGATGAGCATTATCAGCGAGCTTTCGATGAGCTCAAAAGGAAGTTGACTTCTGCACCGGTTCTGTCTACTCCACAGAGCGGGATTGAGTATCTTGTTTACACGGATGCTTCGTTGTAGGGCCTTGGATGTGTTTTGATGCAGGAGGAGCGACCGATTTCTTATGGATCTCGGAAGCTTAAACCTCATGAGCTTAATTATCCAACACATGATTTGGAATTGGCAGCAGTGGTCTTTGCCTTACGTATTTGGAGGCATTATCTGTTGGGTGAATCCTTCAAATTATTTAGTGATCACAAGAATTTGCAGTATCTGTTCACTCAGCGGGAACTGAATATGCAACAGCGCAGATGGTTGGAGTTTGTCAAGGATTATCATTTTTCTGTACAGTATCATCTAGGGAAAACGAATGTGGTGGCAGATGCACTCAGTCGCCGACCTGTTGGTAGTCTTTCTACTTTATTCACCATTGAGTGGAATGCTTTGAGGAATATGGATGAGTTATTGGATGTTTTTATGGCTTGCTTGGTGGTTACACCTTTCATCATTCGCAAGGTTCTGCAAGCCCAACTCACGGATCAGCAGTGCATTGACAAGGTTGCAGAGATAGCTTCTGGGGAGGTTCCATTTTGCCATGTTAGGACTGACAGAGGGTTGAGGTACAAGGGACGTTTAGTGGTACCTTCTGCTGATGATTTGAGGAAGGACGTGATGACTGAGACTCATCATTCTGAGTTTTCTGTTAATCTAAGCGGAGACAAGATGTATCAGGATATGAAGCGGCAGTTTTGGTGGGCAGGTATGAAGAGAGACATTGCTCTTTTTGTTTTTCAGACAACTAAAATAACCCTAATCCTTTTCCCAATCCAAGTCAAACTTCTAAAAAAAAATTTAAAAAATTTAAATACTAAAAAGGTAACTAAAATATATTTTATTCTTTTTATATATAATATATAAATATATGTCAGATTATTATTACAGAACTTTCCTTATATGTATATATTTATTTATTTATTATATATATATATACAACTATGTATGGGTAATTATCCGTACCCATTAAACCCCTTAACCAAGTAGTCCATGAGGCCCAATTAGTTGGTCCATTACTACTATCCATATCTAATTCCTTAAAAAATATATAAAAATAAAAATAAAACAAAACAATTAAATTTCTAACCAAATACACATCATCATATACAATTTTTATTTAAACAAAGAAATCAAAAACACATTTTAGCATACAATTTTATTTAAACAAATAATTCAATTAACACATAAATAATTAAATCAATTAAACAAGTAAACAATTAGCCAAAAAAACAAATAAATAATTAAAATGTAATTAAAATAATTAAAACAATACCGAGACTATCCATTTGAAATTAGTGGTATTACACGGTTCAAGTCTTAGTTAATAATGAATCTATCGATAATTACTGTCATGCCCCCAGACCGAAGTCTGAATTGTGAACACACCACACGGATAACTAAGGTCTCATAGAAACTAACATCACTATAACCTGTCTTACCATACACATCCACCCATTCATTCCCATTTATTTTCCGTACATGAAGATAAACAGGTAAGATACATATATTACAACTTTAAAATTTCAAATTCTGTAATAACATTTATTACATAACAGGGATGTAACTGAACCAATATTATACGACATTGTTCCTTCAATATACAACATCCGTTACACAAGAGAAAACACTACAACCACCTGTCCCAAATATGTCTAAGGCTGAGGAGGAACGTCCTCTACGACCTCCTTGCCATGACCTGAAAAGATGCGTATAAAATAAGAATGAACACAACAACTCAGTAGGAGTTGCTTAAAGCACACTCCTTAATACCATCGTGAATCCACACATTGAATAAATATAGGATAAAGGGATCATACAAGCTTGGGAAAATAATATCATGTGATGTAATAAAATGGAATGCAATGCAATATTAATGCCAATGCCACTGTCATTTCCAAACTTCCCGAAACACTAACCAACAACACACCTCAACAGTTAATGTATCCGACTTAGAGTAATCTCCAGCACCACGAGAAGAAGACTGGTCATTTATCCCTAACCTAGAGTAATCTCCAGCTCCATTTGGGGCCTAGTGACTCAACCATACGCAGGGTATGTCCCTACGTTTTCTCTAAATCCATTTACGACCTGGACATGAGGTACTCCACGCCATCCGACTTTCACATTATTCACTTCTAATTCTTTTCTCAACAACCATCTAATAAGATGTCCCCACTTTTCTTTCCATCCCGAATACATCACCAAACCATGCGAGATGAATGTACATTTATAATAATACAATGTACAACATTTTAAAATCAACAATTTAATCTCTATCCCAAACACAACAAACTTTATCAATTCAATTCTTTCAAAATACTAGCGTGCTCAATAACAAAATTAACATAACATAATCACCTCATGTTCTTGATTTCATTGTTAATACACATAACACATTAAGCATGCTTCTTTTCACCTATTTATAGTACAATCACAATAAGAGGATTTAATACGAAACCAAGTAATCAAGTGTGCATCTCGTCCCATGAAGGAATCCCAATTCAGTTTTCAATTTTAAGTTTCGACATTTTTTTTTTACAATCCAAAATCAATAGAATTGATTCACCAAAGGTAAAGATTGTGAGATTTAGAAAACCTACCTCAAAGAAAGCTTGAACCTTGATAAAAAAAATCCAAAATCACCCCAAGGAAGGATTTAAGCCACCAAAATTAGAAGAAAATGAATAACACATTTTTAAAACACTATCACAACCCTCTTCCTTCAAAACAGCTTTTAAAATCCCAGCAATGAAGAAATGATCACAAGTTGATATCAAAAGAAAGATTATAACCTCAGGAATATTTTTCATTCACATGCCCCTCTCAAATTCTCAACACAAAGGCCTCAAATTAGAGCTTCAAAATATACGTATGAAAAGCAACAAAGGTAAGAAAATTGCAGAATTCCCTTCTGTAAAACCATTTCAAGCAATATATAGAGTCATGTCATACACCTCAATATGTTGCCAAGTGCGCAACATGTGTCATGCCCACACAAAGTCAAAGGTAAGACTTTGCGAAATGACCACAAGGTCCTCCAACTTTCTCTAAATACCTTCTATGCCATTTGCATAGTAAAAGTCCACAATACCCCTAATGAAATATACAAATGACATCCCACATAATTAATTAAAATAAAGAAAATAACACTAATCTCAACAATAAAATAGAAATGCACAAAATGTGAGAAGTTCGGAAAAATGTAAAAGCACAAATCATTACAATTACCGACTATGAACTATGTATGATTACTATTTACGTTCATATATTGATCGTCATCACATACATATAAATATCTCTTGTAATTAAGTGGACACTATCAATTTCATAATGAATCGAAACATAATATATTGAATTTACAAATTGTATAAAGTATAAATATTTCAGATATGTTAGGAACATACGTTTCTTTAATCCAAATAGAAATTCGTTATAATAGGGCATATAAATCACAACAGAAATAGTGTACCATATCAGGAGAGAAGCTACGCTCCAATGTAGTGAAGAAAAGCCAACTATTTTGTGACACTCATCGATTTTAGAACACGGATTGATCAAGTCCGCGTATGACACCAAGGGATACAGCCTGTTCTAGTATCTCTACCTTAGTATACTAGACGGAGACTTGACAAGGTCAAGCCAAACATTTATAACATGTGTCATGTATTATGATTTCCATTCATAAGAAAGATTGATCAATATTAAAGTACAAGATGGTGAAAAATAATAATTATAAATTAATGCGCAAGTACCAGACTGATTTAAAACAAATTTTACAAGCACATAAAACCAATGAATCTAGATCCCTTCCTGTGGCCCGGAAGTGCAAAGTACTAAAGCTAAAGCTACATGATCAATTTTATAAAATAACGTTATTGTTACATAAACGACATAAATATACGTAAACACGATTAGGAGATAGACATTCGAGTTCCGATACCGATATGTTTTGACTTAGAACTTGACTACTTCAGGAATATGAACTGGGTACCTATGAATGCAATCCTCCCATGGCCCGTCTGTTGGTGTCTTGATGGTTCTATTGCACTTCCAAACTGCACTATTACACTTAAAACCACTCCCAAACCCTATCTGCCAAACCCTATCACCCTTCTTCATTTTACCCTTGGCCTCAATATAGCTCAACTCATACCACAGCGACGACGATGACGTGTTACCAAACCGGTGCAATGTCATCCTCGACGCCTCCACGTCCTCAGCCGAGAGCCGAAGGCTCTTCTGCAGCTCGTCGATCACCGCCCTACCACCGGCATGGATGCAGAAGTGCTCGAAAGCCTTCTTGAAGTTCGGAACATAAGGCTTCCACTTATTGTTGAACATTTTCCTGCCTACGAGTGTGGCAAGAAACAAGAGCTGCTCAGAAGCAGGAAGGACAAGAGGCCCAATGGTGGTGATATTCGACTTCAAGGCCTCGCCGGCGATCGTCATGAGATCGACGGACAACGACATCCCTACGTGACCTTGAGGGTCCTCTTCTTGGTGGACACAGTGATAAGCTTTTTCATGAGCTCCTTTGTGTGTTCGAACCGCGCGAACCAGCCGGTACTTTGCTCGATTCCGGTCGGACCACCGGTTCGACAACAGAATAGCAGCTCCACCAACTCGGAACAGACAGTTAGGAAGAAGCATTGATCTTTGGATTCCCAAGTACATAATTGGAGTTATGGTCTCTGTGCTCACCACAACAGCATTTGAATCTGCATGAACTTTAAGAAGGTCATTAGCTAGATTAATGGATATCATTCCTGCACTACAACCCATTCCAGAGAGGTTGAAGCTCTTTATGTTGCTTCTGAGCTTGTACTTGTTGATGATCATGGCTGATAAGGACGGTATGGGAGAGAAGACACTGCAGTTCACAATGAGTATATGGATGTCTATCGGCCCAAGTCCGGTCTTGTTGAAGAGTGAATCCATGGCTGAGAATATAGCGGTCTCGGCTTCTTCTCTTGCTGCCTCCATACTAGGGGTTGGTGGGATGTACAATGATGCCGGAGGGAAGCTAGTCTCTTCGCCGAGGCCGGAGCGCTCCAGAATTTTGATTTGGAACTGAGCGGCTTTCGGGCATGAGCTGAAAGCAATTGTTGCATGCTCCTTGAAGGTTGAGGAAGGGACTCGGCAAGTGAGTGGCTTGAAACAAGCGTAGTCGACTAGGTATGTAGTCCGGCGACGCTTGGACCGGTGGTGGACGGTGGCAATATATACGATGACGAGAGATAGACAAGCAATTGGAATGGGTTGAAAGCAGAAAGAGTGCATTTCAATGAGGCTAAATAACATGGAAAACTCCTGCATCTTTTGATGAGAGAGAACGAAATCGAGAGAGAGAGAGACAGAAGGAGGGGAGGGGTGTGTAAATTTGAGTTGAAAGAGAGAATGGGGGTTCAGAGGGAGGCTAGGGTAAGGATTTAAAGGGTTCCATAACATGGTAATGAATGGAGGCAGATGAGAAGATTAAATGAGATAATTATAACACACGACATCAATCACTTCTGCATATGAATTAATATAAGTAGTTTCTAGTTTTTAGTCTCCATTAGACTATGCTAGAACAGTGTTTTCATTACACTGAATCTGCAACAAAATTCATCAGCTAATCAATGTGAAGGTTAGTAGTTTTTAGTCCCCATTCGAATTTAATGTATAACAGGAATTTTGAAACTAGATCTGGACTATGTTGTTTTAGGAGAACACAACAAAGCCCATGGGCAGGGTCAAGCCCAGGAAATCGGGTCAATCCATCCATTTAAAAATCATCATTCTTTTTAAATGATCTCGTGGATAGGATGATGCACCAAATCACTGATAGAATTCATCAATCACTTCTTTTACCACATTGAACCAAAAGAAAAATGATATAATTGTCAACAATATTTTTCCAAGTACATAGCCCACTTAATATGAAAATTAGTGATTGAAATAAATATTTGAAAGAAAAAAAAAACACCACAACCAGCTTTTGTTTACATTTAGCATGTGAAAGTTAGGGAAGGAGTAGTAGGTCTTTTCATTATCAAATTATATTGCAAGTCCAATGATACTATTCAATTGCACATGCATCACAGATGCTATAAAGCAGAGGATCTGTTGTCCACCACACTTGGTGTTTAATTAAAAGGAGTGATGTTATAATTTTTTGTTTAGTACGTGGTGGTGAAATATACGGTTGGGAATTTTATATATTTTGTACATTTTACACCAAACAAAATGCATGGACATTCTCTGAGGATGAACTGAAGAATATAATGTGGGTCATTTTTGTTGATTTGGCGTAACCGTTGACTGTTTGATCAAATTACACCTATCATCGTTGATGATGTGACATTTATCGTGAGAAAATTATGGCATTACTTTTCCATTTAGTAAAAACGTATAACTGAAATCCTATTCTAAGTCAAATTTTACAATAAGAAAACTAAATCAAGAAACTACCTAGATAAGTATAAGAAATTCAAACTAATAAATCCTAAGAATCTGAGATTGTCCTATTCTAAGTAAGTGAAATTTTACAATAAGGAAACTAAATAACAATCAGGAAACTACTTAGATAAGTATAAGAAATTCAAACTAAGAAATCCTAAGAATCCGAGATTATTGATTTTCTCTACCGCAAGATGGAACTCCGAGAGGATAGCACAATCTTGGTCTTCAAAAATAGAAATCGAGTACGCGAAAACAGTTTGGTGAGAGCATCAGCCAACTGATTAGTATAGGAGACATGAGCCACCCGAAGAGCGCCACTTTGAACTTGTTCACAGATGAAATGATAATCTAAAGCAACATGCTTCATGCGGGAATACAAAACTGGATTTGAGCACAAATTCGCAGCATTGACATTATCACAATAGATCACTTGTTGCGAAGAGAGAGAAACACCAAGTTCAGTAAGAAGAGAGCAAAGCCAACGGAGCTCAGCGGCAGTAGTTGCAACGGAACGATATTGAGCCACAGTGCGTTCCTTCTTGGAACTCCAAGAAATAGGATTGCGACCAAGGTACACAAGATAGGCACTAGTGGAAGTGAAATCATCTTTGTTACCTGCCCAATCGGCATCAGAAAACGTATGGAGAGACAAAGAGGAATATCGATAGAGGACAACACCATGATCCAAAGTCCCACAAAGATAACGCAACAATCGTTTAACAGCATTCCAGTAGTCACTAGTAGGTTGATATATAAACCGAGACAGTTTATTCACCATATAAGCAATGTTAGGGCGCATAAGTGACAAGTGCTAGAGACTGCCAATAGTCCTATATTCAGAGGGATTGGAGAACGCCATACCAGAGGCATTGGCAAGAGGTGTAGCCATAGGCTTTGCATCTGTTATGCGTGTGCGAGCTAGTAGATCCGTTATGTACCGGCGTTGAGATAGAAGTGTTGGGATTTGTATGCCTTGGCATAGCGAATTCTTATTTGGATTAATTAAGTGACATATGTTCCTAATATATCTGAAATATTTATGCTTTATACAATCGGTGAATTAATGTATTATGTTTCGATTCATTACGAAATTGATAGTGTCCATTTGATTACAAGAGATATTTATATGTATGTGATGGCGATCAATACTATAACGGCCCTGGTTTTTCAAGCCAGCACGTTCTATGATGAACCAAAGTTTGACCCGATAGCGGATCCAAATACGGAAGTGAAAACAGAAATCAAGTCTCTAGAGATGCAACGCATCTCTAAGACGCCAAAGTGACCTTCCATGAGGCCACAGAATTCAACGAGAACTAACGCGGAAGAAAAAGATCGGGAAAAAACCAAATAAGCCCTCAAGAGCAAAATAATCTTTTTACATGGAAACAACGTCTCTAGAAATGTACATCATCCCTAAGACACAATCATGACTTCTCATGAAACCACGGAAACTAAAGGAAAACAAGCGGAAGCGACGTTTTAAAAATGGACAAGTTTAGCCCCAAGGGCAAAATGGTAATTTCTAGCAAGATTTAGGTGCTACCGAACACACCATTGGAAAGACGACGAAAAATTAATGAACTTCTCTTGACATGGTCATGTAGAAAATATGATTTTTGGGGGGGGGGGGGGAGGGAGGTTTCTTCACAACTTTTTTTTTTCTAAAAAATATTGTTTAAGCTCTCAAAACCCCATTTGAAATCCAAAAATCTGTGTAGGCCTTGTACAGATTTGAAACCCGGAAAGTTTAATTTTATGAAACTTTGAAGTTTTATACCTTCTTCATCCAGATTCCGAATCAAGTGATTCTTGAGTCTAGATTTATTAATTTTTCCTTGTCTATCTAATGCTATGCTCAGTTGCATCAGTTTTGTTTGAAAAGACCACTTTACCCCTGGTTAAGTACCCTTCCCGTTTTATAATTTTAGCTTCCGCATTTGATTTTTTTTTAGTTTCGTGACATCATGGAAGGTCACCTTGGCGTCTTAGGGATGTCGTATATCCCTAGAGATCTTGTTTCTGTTTTCGTTTCCACATTCCGGATCTGTTTTGGGTCATCTTACCGGTTATCACAAGACGTACTGGCTTAAAAAACTAGGGCCGTCATAGGTTGTATCAGCTTTCAAGTTTGAATACCTTGAGACGACGGGTTTTGGGTGCATATCACGTTTTTGTTGCTATATTTTACGTGTTTATATGCAATTTGATAACATGTTTTAGTATTATAACATGTTTACGTGCTTCTTGATAACATGCTTGGTTTGATAACTTGTCTACGTGCTTATTTGGCAAATTATTTAGAAGCTTACCTACTCCGTTTTAGCATGTTGTATATGCTTATCTACTTTAGTATGACTGTATGTTGCATACATTGACGTGCTATTTGTTTTATACATTCACTGAGTGAGCTGCGTTCGGTCATGATAACTTGTGTTAATATTGACGTCGTTTCATTCTTTAACGCATATAGCGTCATGGTCTCGACACATGGAGAGTCTTCTCGTCAGGGCTCGGGTAAGCATAGAGTTGCAGTCTTTGTCTGGTGGAATGAGACTTGGGCCGTGGAGGCGTCGTTTCATCCCATCTTTCTTTTGTAGCTTTATAACATGGTCATGGGGCATCTGAGGTGGCGGTATCATCTCTTGGGGTTTAATGGTGACCTTGATGTGATGACGTCGTTGAGGTATTTGTTTCTAGTGTCATGGGACAATGAGTCAGGATAGACTTGAGTCCTTCCTTGGGGAGTTGGGAAACCGCCTTGTGAGCCTCAGCGGCGAGGTTCTCGTGTCTTGCCTTCTTAGGGCAATGGTTTTAGGATTTGGATAGGTGTGTTGACCTAGGATCCTTCTTGTGTTGCCTCAGACAGCTCTTACAAGCTACTGTTGGGACGTGAGCGGTTTTGTGTAATTAATTGCGTTGGTGCAATTAATTACTCTCCCTTATCTTTGGAGACTTACAGCGTTGTGTAAGGGTTCTAGTAGAATCCTGTAAAGTTCCAATAGAACTCACTGGCACCTTGAGGGGTGTTCTTCTTGTTGTTGTCTTGTACCGGTTAACATTGGGGCTATCCATTTCGTCTATCCATTTCGTTGTCACCTTGTTTCGTGTGATGTCGGGATTCCATCTGGGTTTGAGTTAGTCTTGAGAAGGACTTACTGGCCTATGTTTCGAAGACCTCAGTGGTCATTTGGGAGATGATTCCTTTCTCGTAGAGAGAGATTGGGCTCATCCATGTTCTATTGTACGTTTTTTGCGAGGTGTCTTTTGAGAGGCATTCCATTCATTTATTTTGGTTTTATAAAATTGTCATTTGTATGATCACTTTTACATGTTATGAGCCCATTGTTTTTGGGCATGCCTTAAGAACATGTTTAGGATATATGACTATGTGGTAGTTCGTATGAGGATATAGATGATACGTTTTCATATACTATATCCATTTTGCATGCTAGTGCCATTAGTGGTGTATGGCGTGTCATTGTTTATTTGACCCCTATGTGATATGTGGCTTGTTTGATTTACCTTATGTGTACTATGTGCTTAGTATTAAGGTATTATATAATTTATGCAATTTAATTTTGCGAGTATGTACTATGTGAGCATCTAGTTTGTACTGTTTTATCTTTCGTACACTTATGTTGAGGTTTTGTGACCTTGGTTGTCGGGATTGTCATGAGTGAGCTACGTGGTAGACTTTTGTTTTGAGGATTTAGTTGTCCACGATAGGGATTTTAATCTAGCATTTTGTTTTCGTTTGTGACCTTAGGATAGGCCTGCTTCAGGACGGTATTTTTCGGTTTCGTGGAGTCCAATCCATTGGTTTGAGGGCATGACTTGTCAGGCTTTGGATTTGTGACTGGAGGTTGTTGATAAGGGTGTTTTGTAATGTAGGAGTTGCTGGCTCTACTTGCACTGAGGATTTAAGGCCTTAAGTGTAGCGGTGTCTATGACATTGTTGTTGGAGTTTGGGATTGGCCAAAATGGCTCGGCCGGACATCTTTGGACCATATCC